GTGGTGTGTGTGTGTGTGTGTGTGTGTTTTTGTGTGTGTATTTATGTATGATATCCAGGTAAGTTATTTTCTCCTAGAAATGCTTCTTGGTATACTAATGACTTTTTCTTGTGTGGTGCTGGGGATTGAGCCTATCCAGGGCTTTTCTTGTATAACATAATACTAGACCACTCCAGCTTTGAATTACGTGTGTGTAGGCTAAGGGACAACAGGTGTGGTAAATATTAGCTTTAATAGGTCTTTGTGTGAGCATAAATTTTCAATTCCTTTTGGATAAATACATGTAAATGGAATTGCTGGTCTTTTCTCTGACAGAAGTGGACCAACTGTCCTCCAAAGTGGTTCTATCAATTTGTATTTCAATAAGCCATGGAAGTGAAGTATGTGCTGAAGTACATTTTCCCACATATGGGATATTTTATTGCACCATTTGTTGAAAAGTCTATCTTTTATTTATTCAATTGCCTTTGCATCTGTTTCTGAGCTTCTCTGCTTCATGAATCTGTGTGTCTCAGCCATTTTCCCATTAATTATACTACTTTATTTTCTTTGCAGTGCTGAGGGTAGATCTCATGGCCTAAAGCATGATGGGCAAGTGCTCTACCACTGAGCCTTATCCTAGCTATGATACACTATGTTAACATACTTTCTTGAGTACTATAGTTTTGTAGTGAGTCTTGAAATAAGTAATATTAGTACTCTGACATTTTTCATCTTCAGAATTGTAGTGAAAATGGAACACTTAACTTGTTACCATCTCTCATCAAGAATAATACTAGCTGTAGAATTTTGGTTTATAGTATATGTCCTTTTGTGTAGAAAGCAATTTACCTAACAGATTTGAGGCTGCTGTCTCAGTAGGAAGGCTTGCTTGTAAAATTGGCCTTTGGCTGATAGATAGAAAATTGACTTTTTAAACATTCAAAAAATAAAATGTCATATTCTACCTTCATTTATTTCCTTTCCAGTGCTTTTTATTTCTTTTGTTAATCCTAGTTTCCCTACCTACTTAAATAATTTTCTTTAGCTACTCAATGCTCCAGCATGGAGGAGAAGGAGGGGCTCATAAGCTTCCACTTCTACTTGAGGAGCTATTGAGAATTATAGCTTCTAGGAGGAGAGTCAGTTTTCTTTAGGAGTATAGTCCCTAATAGATTACCCATGCTGTAGTGGGTAGCCTACACCAATCCATATATGGACAGCACAATTTGGACTTTATATGAGCTAGTTTTTAAAAAATATGTGGGAGAGAGGTGGATCTTGGAGGATTTAGAGGGAAGAGTGGGTGATGAATACGATCAAAATACATTGTATGCATGTCTGAAATTCTCAAAGAATTAATAAAAACGTTACCTTAAAATAAAACATAATTTTTGAGTGGGTGTGGTACACGCCTTTAATCCCAGCACTCAGGAAGCGGAGGCAGGCAGATCTCTGTGAGTTCGAGACCAGCTTGGTCTACAAGAGCTAGTTCCAGGACAGCCTTCAAAGCCACAGAGAAACCCTGTCTCGAAAAAAAACCAAAAAAGAAAAACATAAATAAATAGATAAATAAATAAAACATAATTTTCAGGAAAATGGGACTAAAGGAATTTCCTTTAACATTTTTTAGGGTAGATTGGATGGCAGTAACTTCTCTTTTTGTTTGTGTGAGAAAATTTTCATATTCTCACTTTTGAAGGACATTTTGTATGATGTAGAATAATGGTTGGAAGAGATTTCCCCCTCCTTCAATGTATTATTATTCCACTGTTACAAATAATCCAGTTAAGTCTGGTATCATTATTATCCTTAAGTATATCTAATGTCTCTCTTTGCTTCTGGTTTCCCTAAAGGTTTTCTTTTTGCCTTTGATTTTAAGCAGTCTAAATATAATATACCTAGATAAGGCTTTATATTTTTTCATATGTATTCTGTTTAATATTCTCCAAACATTTTTTAAAGATTTTTATTTATTATATATACAACATTCTGCTTCCATGTATATATCTGCACACCAGAAGAGGGCACCAGATCGCATAACGGATGGTTGTAAGCCACCATGTGGTTGCTGGGAATTGAACTCAGGACCTCTGGAAGAGCAGACAGTCCTGAGCCATCTCTCCAGCCCTTCTCCAAACATTTTATCTGTGGTTTATGTCTATAATTTCTCAGCCATTACTTTTTCAAATCTACCTATTTTGCTTTTTTTTCTAGGATTCCAATCCTAAGTTTGTTATACTGCTAATGGCTCACAGTTCTTGAATGTTGTGTGCTGTTTCTTTTAATATTTATTTTTGCCTGCATATATGTCTGCATCACATGTATGCATTGCCTGTGAAAGCGAGAAGAAGGTGTCAGGTTCCCTGGAACTGGAATTACAGATGGTTGTGAGCCAGCATGTGGGTTCTTGGAATCCAACCCAGGTCCTCTGCAAGAACAGTAAATGCTTAGAACCACTGAACCATCATTCTAGCCCCTGCATGCTGGTTCTTTTTGTCTCCTTTGTCCCATTTTGTTTTAATTTTTAGTGGCCTGATCAATAAACATGACCTTCAAGCTCATTGATACTTTTCTTTGTTGCATCAAGTTTACTGTTGGGTTTTTTTTTTTAAACTTTTATTTCTAGTATTTCTATTTGCTTTTTTCTCCTAGGTTCTATTTCTTTGCTGAAATGATCTGTCTGGATTGCATATTATGTACTTTATCCGTTAGACTCTTAAAAACATTTATTTCTCTATTTTTCTATTTATTTATTATCTATAGTCTCCTGCCTGCATATATGCCTTCTCACCAGAAGAGGGCACCAGACTCATTACAGATGGTTGTGAGCCACCATGTGGTTGCTGGGAATTGAACTCAGGACCTCTGGAAGATCAGCCAATGCTCTTAACCATCTCTTCAGTCCATTAGACTTTTAAACATGAATCATAATTCTTTTAAATTTCATTTTTGATAGTTTCGACATCTGTACTATTGTGTTTGGACCCAGGGACCGCTTTGTAACTTGGGGTATTTTTTTCTTACCTTTTGATACACCTCATGAACATCCTGAAAGCTGCACATGGGCAAGAGATTCTGATGAATTTTTAGTAGTTAGAAAGCTCTGGTTTCTTTCCTAGGCCTTTAGTGAGGAGTTGGCCTGTTCAATGTTTTTGTTGACATGGGTGTGTGTAGATGGGAGGCAGTGTAGGGGCACCAGAGATTTCCTATTCCTCTACTGATAACATTTTTAGTGTTTATTTTATGTGGGTGAGTGTTCTGCCTGCAAGTATGTGACTATCTTGTGTACCTGGTGTTTATAGAGGTCGAATTCCCTCAAACTGGAGTTGCACATGGTTGTGAGCCACCATGTGGGTCCTGGGAACTGAACCTGGATCCTCTGAAAAACAGCAAGTGCTCTTAACTGCTGAGCCATCTCTCCAGCCCCCATGATAACTTCATTTTTACTATTCTTGGCTTTGGGTTGTTCATTGTGCTACTTTCCAAACATAGGTTTTTATAGCTTTTCCAGATGTATTCCACTGTTACTAGGTAGGTGGTATGTAGGGTATGGTTTGTTGAGGAGGTGTTTTCTGATTATCTGATTGGTCAGGTACTAGAACCTAGGTCTTGAGTGTGTTCCTAGCAAGATTTCCTGTTCATTCTTCTTGTATAAGGCTTCTTTCTCTTCCTTCCTATCCCTTACCACACCCTGTTGAATATACTAATATCCTTCTCCCTGAGGATTTACCCCTTTATTCTGTACTCAAGATTAGATAAGGTGGTCTCGGTGAGTTACAGTGAACTGTTTTAGTCAGCCAGCCAGCCAGCCAGCCAAGTACCACCATGGGAGCCTTTTCTTAGGTTTTCCCTGGTCTTCACCTTGAAAGTTGGTGAGATTCCTATAGGAAAAGCTTTTTAAAGGGGTAGAAACTACTTTATGGAACACACAAGCTTCCCACTATGGC